AGGCACCCCCCCCCCCCCCACACACACACACACATATAAACACACCCCTACCCCTGCAGAGCGTCCAGCCGAGTCCCCCCCCCCCGCTCCTACCCCCACGGGCGCCCAGCTGAGCCGTCCATAGCGGTCCAAGTCACGTGATGCGTGATCCGGCAGCGTTGCTGGCTTTGGATCTGGTCACATGTTGCGTGATCTGACAGCGAGGAGGCTGTAGAACAGGTCACGTGATGTGTGATCAGGCAGAGCGGGTGGCTGCAGAACTGGTCACGTGATGCGTGCTCAGCGTCAGTACGGTTTTTCTGGTCGTACTTTCTGCTACTGGGAAGCAATAAGAGAGTTACGACGTCATAGGCATGAAACATATGTCGTTCTTCGAACTACCATATCGGTACCTGAGGATTTGTCAGCAAATGAGCGAGCAGTGCTTACAGGTGTGCTTCCAAACAGCGAGAAGTTGACCCGAGAATCGGGATATGAAGCGGTTGGTTTTGTTGAGCCGGCTAGATCGTAATAAAAATTAGTAGTTGGCTCCCTAAAATTTATAAGTTTGAATAGGCTGACAGATGTGCACACTGACATTGCACTCTGGCCGATGTAACACTGAAATCAAAATATTTATGTCCCACATCCGCGTTATGCCTGCCAAAGCTAGGTTATATTCAACTCTGATATTGTTGTATATTTGGTCCCATGTCATTTACGATCTCATTTGCGCGAGGTTTTCCTGAGCCTATGCCTGACCTCATTGGCCAATCTGGCGTGCAGCCGACTTTATGCTTTTCACTTCAAGATGACTTTCTATGACGGTATGATACCGAGCGCAGTCCGCAGGGCTTGTTTCGGTACTGGAGAGGCCACGAGTCCTAGGAGCCGACATCTCGGTCACCACTCACCTGACCGGTTCCAGGTGGTGTCCGATCAAAACAAACAGCTGATTTGAATGTGGCGCACCTTCTGTGCACCCGCCACCCCCAGTTGATTGGCATAATGGCATATATCGGTGAACCCGGTACTGGGTTCACGCTGCCCAAAAACGGCAGCGTGTTTAGCATCAAAACATCATCTCATGTTTTTACGTACCTACCCGGCCTTTGGCGTCCCCCAACTGGAAAACACCACATTCACCACATTCACAGTACACGCAGATGCGGATGGTTCTTTGCGGTATACCGCGGCCTCTGTGGCTGCTCAGCCGCCAGTCCACGGGGTACGTGCGTGCCACTGGCTCGGCCGGCTGTTTTTACCGAGGTTTGTGAAGTGTGTCAGTGTCGTCAGCCGGTGCGTCGCCGTCTTTGTTCGATGGTGGTGACGACTGCTGTGCAGTACAGTCCCCCCCCCCACCCTCACCCCGCGATCAGCTGGCGGCTGGGGTCACCCTGCCACCCCCCCCCCCCTCCCCTCCCCTGAGGTCGGCTGTTGTGCATCCCCGCTTGCGCCCTGCCCCCACCGAAGGCACCCGATGAACCGATGGGGGGGGGGGGGGTGAGCGGCCGTGCCAAGTACGACCCACAAGCTGTGGGACTGTTTGTAGAAACGCTTAGTTTAGACCATTGTTTGTTTTACGGGGCGCCCTACCATTGAGGGATTGATTGAACCGGTTACGAGTGTTAAATATTCCATAAATATTTCAATATTTTATTGAAAACCCATTTGCATTTTCCTTTGTAAAGTCATTTGCTCTGAGTTACGTATCAGACAAACACGGTCGCACTCAGGGGCCGTTGAACCGGAGCCACGGTATGTTGGCAGACCATCGCAGCCCACTCCGTAGGTATCGGCTGTGTTACACTAACACCCGGCGCGGCGGCTGGGTGGTGTCGGGAGGCCCATGGTTGGCAGCAGCTCGAACCCCGCGACCCTGAGCGTTCCAGGACCCTTGGACGGCCCCGCGCCCCTATCAGTATACACGGCCAAAGTCAGCCGAACGGCCAGCGGCGGCCGGCGCCGACACGTGCGCTGTTTGGACGCGCGCTGCTCGCGTGAGGCGCCGGGCTGGCAGAGTTGGACACGTGTTGGAGCGGGTCCAGTTGGGAGTCATGAACATATTTAAGGGATATAAATACCTACTACCAAGATAATGCTGGAAGCGAAAATGCGTGTAAATCATCGTATACCTACTTTTGGGAAATGTCCTTGCTATTTTTCCATAAAAATGTGTGATACCAGCTGAGCTGAATGCATGCCCCGTCAACCTGAATATCCGTGTGAACTCCGAGCGTCCATGCCTAAATGCGTCTGCCCGCCGTCCCCACCACTGACCCCTGTGCCCCCTCTCCGTCGACAGCACGGTCTGAAGAGCGGCGCCACGGAGTCGGTACCGGCACCCGTCCGTAACCTGGCCGACGGCGCGCCCAGCGTCAGCATGGACAAGATCGTGGCGGCCATCGGCCAGATGTACCTCAAACAGGCGGGCAAGCAGGCCAGCAGGGGCTTCCAGATGGTCAACCCCTCGGACGAGTGGTTCCCAGGTGAGACGGACGGACGAGCGGTGCGGAGAGGGAGGGTATAGCCGGGATGAGAGGACGGCAGAGGATGTAGGCATGTGGATGGGTGGAAGTGGATGGGTGGAGTTAGTGGCGCATTTTGAGGGAATGTCAAGTTATCTGAATGTTACCGTGGGATTGCATGTCATTGGCTGTTGATCAAGATATCTACCTATCGGTGCTCGCTTCCTCAACACGGTCACTCTCCACACAGCCGCTGTCAGCGTCCCGTCATGGTATTTCTCGGTATGTCCCTGACGGCGCCGTCCCGCCCCTCCCGACAGGTCTGGCCGCGCTGGAGGCCGGTCTGGCCGACCCCGGCTGGGTGTACGGCAAGACGCCGCGGTTCTCGCACACGTTCCGTCTGGCGGCCTGCTCGAACGTCGAGGTCGAGGTGCAGGTGGAGAAGGGTCTCATCACGTCCGTGCAGCCGCTGCCGCCCGACAACAGCGCCGTGAGTACCGACCGACGCGCCGGCCGGCCACGGGGGACCCGCGTCGGACCGTCACCGGACAGAGGGCGCTACGTGCGGGGTGTCGTCAGCATCTGACGCGACATCCTCCTTCGTATTACTGAATGTGTTCGGCTGTGTTAATTTGTTGGACAAAAATAATGCAACTGTTAGAGCCTCTAAAGTCGAAACATCCCGCCGTAACATCAGAAACGTCTTCCACTCCCCGTCCCGCCGCCCGTACCGCCACTGACCGCCCTCTGAAGTCTGAACCTGACCAACCCGTACCGTTTGCTGACCGCCCTTTGAAGTCTGAACCTTGACCAACCCGTACCGTTTGCTGACCGCCCTCTGAAGTCTGAACCTTTACCACCGTTTGCTGACCGCCCTTTGAAGTCTGAACCTTGACCAACCCGTACCGTTTGCTGACCGCCCTCTGAAGTCTGAATCTTGACCAACCCGTACCGTTTGCTGACCGCCCTTTGAAGTCTGAACCTTGACCACCGTTTGCTGACCGCCCTTTGAAGTCTGAACCTTGACCACCGTTTGCTGACCGCCCTTTGAAGTCTGAACCTTGACCACCGTTTGCTGACCGCCCTTTGAAGTCTGAACCTTGACCAACCCGTACCGTTTGCTGACCGCCCTCTGAAGTCTGAATCTTGACCAACCCGTACCGTTTGCTGACCGCCCTTTGAAGTCTGAATCTTGACCAACCCGTACCGTTTGCTGACCGCCCTCTGAAGTCGGAACATTGACCAACCCGTACCGTTTTCTGACCGCCCCCTGGCTCTGTCCATTGGCAGGGTGTGAGCGGCACCGAGTGGGTGCGTTCGATCCTGCCCTCGGCCTTCCCGGAGCTGCTGGCCTCGCTGGTCGGCGAGAAGTACTGCGCGGACATCGCGCGCCGCACCGAGACGCTGCTGCTGGGACACACCGGCTCGGCCGACACATGCCGCAGCGACCGGCGCATCCTGGCCATGTAGGACGGACACAGCTGGGGACGGAGGGTGCCGACAGGGGGGACAGGGGGGGACGGCGGCGACCGGCGCACTCTGGCCATGTAGGAGGGGCAGGGGGACGGAGAGCTGGCGCCGGAGACACATCCACGGGCTCCACAAGTAGGGAGTCTGAAGGGGAAGGCCGAAAGGACGCGGACATGGTGATTGAAAACGAGTGATTCAAACCGACTGATTAGAATGACATTATCGAATGTAAACAATGGTTATTTGGTATTATTTAACCTTTTAATCATACACCAGAATGCAAACTGTTTGGATTGTGCTTATAATTTTTTTTTTCGAAATGTAACGTGTTTGTGGTTTGCGGCGTGTTCTCGTTGGGACGGTTTGTTTGATGTGAATCTCGCCTGATTGGTGCGTCCGGCATTTGCCTCCCCCACTTTGTCCCATCCCCTGGCGCCCTATGCCCCATGTCACGTGGTGGAACAAACAGTCGTGCCTTGTCATCCGTGGCGGCCTTTACTAATGGCAACTCTGCTGCTTTTCTGTCGGTGGGGGGCGCTCGCTGCACAGTGTGCCGCGCTGACTTTACTGGAGCCACTATTTCCGTTACTTTTAAGAGCGCTGCGTCTATATTTCGTTCTGTCTGGGATCGGGTCTCTGACTTTGAGCGTGGTCCCGGGACGGCCGGCGGGAGCAGTCCGATTCTAGTGCAACTGGGGTGAGGGATCTGGGCCATCGGCCTCCAATACTGCCTCCCTTTTGGGGGCTGCCCGTGTTTACACTGAAATAACTATGCTCGCGGTATGATGTGTGATTGAATAATGTGTGATATTTTGATGTGTTGTGTCCCGTTTTAAGGCAGTCACAGATGTGATAAATGGCTGATTTGAGCAGCAGCTGAAGTGTGTGAAATGACCGTGATGATTTGCCTTGTAGTGTTGTGTCCATCAGCGCTCACCTGTTTCTGTTTACGTTCTATTGGGGAACGGGCGAGCTTCACATATAATCAGGAACTATTAAGGAGCAGAATCATTGGGAGTTCCAGCCCCTCATTGGGAGAAGACCGGGATTCGCTAAGGCTCTTAGGGCGGTGCCAATCCAGTGTTCCCATCCACTTTGGTGTATTTATCTACTAATCTACACACAGACCACTGCGCACAGTCCATCAACAGTCCGGGGTCCACCGGCGGCCCCCAGATAACACTGCAGCTCATATCGGCTATATCTGTCGGCTTCCAGACACGGGGAAGGTCCCTTCTGACCCAGCGTTACCGCATGTGGTGGCTCACATGCTGGCGAAGGCTACGGCAGTTTGTGAACACCCCGTAGGAGTTAAAGCGGCCTCCAGGCTTGAGTTAAGCCGACATCGGCGCGTCATTTCTTCATGGTAAATACCAGCACTTCATGCAAACACGCACCTTCACTGCTACGATCAGGCACTGGAGAGTTCATGGCATTCCGCCATTCTGAAAGAGAGATACCGAGGTCAGCTGCGTTAGATCCACCATTCGAGGCCTACTTGAAGCCAATCCCACCATCGGGGCTACTCTGGGGCTTCCCAGCGCACACAGCTCAGTCGGTGACATTCGACTATCCAACAGTGATTGTAACATGGCACGCCATCATGGGATACCTGCCACTGGAGCAGTATTGTTCAAAATATATGTGATCTTGGAACAAATGGCACCCCATTATAATTTATAGGAACAAAATAGGCAAATGTCAACAACGAAGCTGAGAAAGTGCACCGTCTCAGCGTTGGCAGGCCAGCAGCGGGTCCACTCACATTGATGCACTCGATCTCGCGTTCCTCGAGCGGCAGGCGGCGGTAGCGGGCCGGCAGCTGCCACTCCTCCAGCACGGGCCCCGACTGCACCGTGGTCCACCTGCGGCCGCCGCCGCTAGGGGCGCTGGCGGCGGCCGGCGCAGGCGCCGCCGTCACCGGCGAGGCGTGTACGGCCGGCCGCTCCGAGGTCGCTGCGGGAAAACAGACGTCACTGCTATCCACTGAGGGAGGGGACTATGTCACCGCTGGCCGATCACTACTCAGAGGTCGCTGCGGGGAGAGGACAATGTCATCAACAGCCGCTGAGGGGATAGGACTGAGACACCACCCGCCACTGAGGGGATAGAACTGAGACACCACCTGGCCGCTGAGGGGATAGGACTGAGACACCACCCGCCACTGAGGAGGAGGCAATGTTACTGATGGCCTTTCCGAGGTCGCTAAGGGGTGGAACGACAGAAACTCCGGGCCACCAGGCTGATAAGCGACAGTAACACTCAGTATTGCTTAGTGATTTGTCATATACGTGCAATATTTTTTTATTAATAGCTCAACTGGATGCTTTGGCTTGCAAGGCCTTAGAAATCAAAATTTTCGCCTGAAATAGGCAAGAAAGTGAAAACAGCATGACACTTTTGCAAAACAACAGGACAAGAGCATGCAGAAAATGTATACACATGCATATCTCAGTCAAACACATACATAAGTCAAGCAGTTCTACTATTTTGCTTGAAAAGCCAGACTGTATGCACTACATACCTGCATGTGGACCATTCCTAAACTTGATCAGGGGCCGGTGTGGGTGAACAGTCTGAAAAAGTCCAGATGATGTGTGGGGTGGATATTACTGTCGGTGTGCTTATGTTATTAATATATCAATAGACACAGAACAGCTGTCTAGTTTCAAAAATGACATTCATTTGCTACATTCATTGGACAAATAGTCAGACCCCACCTCACACAGTGAGCAATAGTACATAAAATAACATTGAAAATTACTGGTTACATTAAAGTGACCAGGATTAGGGTATAAGCATCAAGACAAAAATAGAAGTGGAAGGGAAAACATTGAAGCCTACTGATATCTGAAAAAGGAGGATAAAAGTTATGCTGAATTTACATACCTATAAAATATCATACGAATTTCATTTAATGAACCATATTAATGCTAAAATTTATCTAAAATCTACAAAATATTGAGCTTATTAAAGGCTCAAAATAACAGGACAAATACCACTTATAATTAACAAATACTCTATTTTCACTACCCATGACTTAATTCAAACAAATAAAACAATTGATGAGGCCTAATTTTGTCCACAGTTGTACATTTTTCAGCAATCACCTGACAGCTGTTTCAGTTTGTGTTGCCTATCTGACCAATAACCATCTGAGTCTTTGTAGTGTGACTCAAAGGCTGAAGCAATTGTCTATAAGGATGAGAAAATAAATACAAAGTATTTAATGACAAATAGAAAAGTAGTTCAACAGCAAATTTAATGGCAGCTGAGCATTAGGGAACAATCAGATTATGGGCCTGTTCCAGCGCCTCCAGTAGAAATTCTTGACTGGAGGCTCTACCAGAGGTTTCACTGGAGGCGCTGGAACGCAATCTGGAGATTTCTGGAGGTTGGCATCACAGATACCAAAAGAATGACGATTGTTCTCTCTTGAAACGCAAAATTTGCTTTCAATTTTATAAAGAAAGATTAACAATATTATAGCAATGTAATTGTCTTTACTTTCAAGTTGTAAAATAATCAGTCTAAAGTCCTTTGTTTACATTCGTGATTGTCACATGTGCGCCATAATTGTAGACCAGAGCCTCCAGAGAAATTTGGACCTCCCAACTCTCTGGAGGCTACTGGAGGTTTCTGGAGCTTTGGCTAGAGCTTTCTGGAGCTTTCTGGAGGCGCTGGAACGCTCTCTGGAGGATTCTAGAGCTTTCTGGAGCTTTCTGGAGGTTTCTGGAGGCGCTGGAACAGGCCCTATACGAAACAATACAAATTGGCATTCCTGTGATCCCGTACTTCCTGTATGATGTTAACTCGACCTACCTTCCATGAATGAAGTGCCATCAATGTGCTGATTTGCTTGAATTGAATATAAACTGACATATTTGAGTGTTTCTGAGTTCTAACTGAATTAATAAAGTGGTTAACAGAAAGTTAACATTAGCTTTTAGAGCATTAGGTACACTATGTGACTGTAGTTAAAAAACGATCCTGTTATTCATCTCCCAGTAATGACAGAAATAAACTTGAGTTAGGCACAAGCTTTTAATGTACCTAAATCTTCAATTTTTTCAGTTCAGTAGGCGGAACTATGGTCAAGCGTACCCATTTTCGGGAACGCATTTTCGTTCCCATGTTTGGGAACGATAAACCCAAATATGGGAACGCCATGTAGGAATTATTTAAAACAAGAAAAAGAACCGTTAAATGACGTCCAAAAAATATAAAACGATCGTGAACCGCCTGATATTTGTCTCAATATTGTTGGGAAAGAGTTTGATATTGTAAGGCCCATCGTAGTTTCAAATCGTTCCCCTATTTCTAAAGCAGTCCATCATCCGGGCCGCGAACCCAAATTTGGGAACGCTCTCGTACACTGGCGCTGCAAGCGTTCCTTATTATGGGAACGGCGTACCCAAAATTGGGAACGATTTCACCGACGCCTTTCAGGGGCTCTTTTCATTAACAAGCATCATGTCCAACGCCGCAAATTATTGTTAAGCAACAATCATCAGATGACGTTTCCGGCAAGACCGTCGCATGTTTCGCCCGGTCTTCTGCGCTTTTATTCCCGTCGATCTCGCAGCGGGCACGCCCCCCTCTGCAGGATTACGTAATTCACAACGCTCAGCGATGTTCAACAAGGTCTTCCATACCTATATCCACCGTCCGCGCCGAGGGTGGAGACATGTCAAGCACCTGTCTGTTTATCACCGATAGTTGACGAGCACAAGGAAGTATCCAAAAATGGGAACGCTGAATATGTTACACCCTCAAAACACCTAGTCCCATGGAAAATCTAGTTTTTTCCTTTCTTAATGAGTGTAATTGGCAAAAGGCCTGGTAGGATGGGCACGAGGAATGATCGAAATCAGCATAAAAATTATAAATAAGCCACACAGAGCGACCTATATAAGAGAAATTTCCCCAAAACGATCATGCTTAGAAACACGGAAGACAAAAACCACGCTCATGACGCTCCTTATAAAACAATGCTAAACAGCTAGCATCCAAATAAAATATGTCTTTCCGGGTTGATAAAATACAGCTGAATAATTTTAAACCACTGAAACTGAGTTTACAACAGTAGTTCGGTAAAATCACTGACGTTCCACGCGGTCGTGCGCCCCGAGACCAAAAGTCAACAATATTACCTCGGGACTGTCTGCGTGTTCGCTTGCATATGTCAGCATCTGGTGTCGCTAGTATGAAACTTCATAACCAGGCGAAAATTATTATACTTGACCTCAAAATGTAAAAAACGCTTCATTTTCCTTTAAATTGCATGTTAAATGTAGTATAACCCATGTTTTCACCATTCCGTCATTTCAAAAAAATCATTAAAAATATCATTCGACGGTCAATTTCCTTGTTCAACGGTCAGATTAAAGATAATTTTATAGAGACTCAGTAGATACTTAAATTAGCGTGCACTTTTTTGAGACGTGATGCACTAATGAGTTTTAGTGGGCGAACGGCCGAAAAATTACCTTCCGTTCCCGTAAATGGGAACGCCCGTTCCCATATTTGGGAACTCCGTTCCCAAAAATGGGAACGTTCCTATATTTGGGTACTCATGACCATAGTTCCACCTACTGAGTTAAACGAGTTAAATTCAAGTTCAGTCGATGAACGGTGACGGATTGCGAAAGACTGAAAATGACGAAAAATTTGCGCCACTTCTTGCAACATACGCGCCAGAATCCCTGCAGCTTAGGGATTCCATATTTCCCTTCACATTGCCGATTTTTATCTATTAGTAAAGTACTATCTTAGCTATTATCTACAAATAAATGTAGAGCAAATTTGCTCAACGTTACTGCAACATCGAAACAGTACTACAGAATAACAGAAATATTCAAGCGATTAGGGCATCACAGTATGCACACATACCATTATGTAATGACACATACCAGGGTATCTAATGACCTTTACTTAAAGGAAATAGTTCACTTTCACGAAATTATTTTTTTGCAATGGATTTGTGATTTTTTATGTTCAAAATGATCAGCAAAGAAAATAAAACCTTTTTACAACAAAAGATTATTTTCTATATTTTTGATATAGGAAGAACTTTTCAGTTTCTGTAAGGCACACGCGATCCAGTATGAAAAGAGCATGGGTCCCGAAAATTCTTCACAAACTAGAGAAATTATCGCGGCCACCGGCATTTGGGCGATCTGCTCGTGCTTTTGTTACTGGAGCATGCGGAGCGCCTCACTGGAGCGAATTTCTCTAGAGTTCTCGTAGATAATTTCTCTAGTTTCTGAAGAATTTTCGGGACCCATGCTCGTTTCATACTGGATGCGAATATATGCAAGGCACACATCCTCAACGCAAGACGACGAGAAATAGAATATCTTTGCCTAGGGTGATCGTTGGGCTGTAAAAGCTCCTGATTTATGCTCGTCTCAGCCCAAGCTACAGAACTGCTATTCCAGTTCAAAACCCATGTTAAAATGTGAACTATTTCCTTTAAGGTAAATAGGTAATGTCGCACCTTGTCATCTTTATTGGACAATGGGCACTGAATGGCCGTTCATTTCGAATTGCCCAAATTAACACAAGCCCGGAGACTGTTATTGATCGATAGTTTACATAACAACCTTGGATTTCACACCATGCAGTCGCTTCTGTTTTCGAAGGGCGCTGTGCCGCTGTGCTGTCATAGGAGACGACTGAAGTTGAGTGATCTATAATGCGGTGTAATTTGACCTCAGCACTGATTCAAGCGGACGAAGTGCTAATCTTAGTGCAACTAACAGCTCACGTCGTTCCAAGCAGCCAGGACGGACAAAGTCACAGGCCTTGCCCGGGAATCCGATTCGGATGGGTCGAGCTAATTCTAGATACAATAGCCTTTTCCTAGACCTAAATATTATCCGTTCAGTCGACCAGCATACTAAGTGATAAGCCTCATTTTTGCCTAACCATTTCCACACACCTCAAACGTAGCTGACGTAGAAAGTCTCCGCGTTAAATCCAAAACAATTATGAACGGTGAGCCAATTCAATCCATCTGAACCACGCACCTGTTTGGGGCAGTTTGAATAAAGCCAAGATGACCGTTGTACGCTCCAGAGTTCGTTATAACTATCTGTATGAGAATCGCCTTTCATCATTGCGCTACGTAGTTATATGCTTGATATGAGCTGCAAATCCACATTCGCATGGAAAATTCGTGCTTTTACGGATATGAATACCGCGTTTGGTCAGCTACGCAAGGACGCTTGACGCCAGCAACCCCGCCGGTCAAGTCTCGCTTTGCTTAAGCCCGTCGCTCCCATTGGCGCTTTATCGCGTTTCGCTGGCTCAGCATCGTCTCGCCCCTATGCACTTCCCGCTCCACTTTTATGTGCGACAGCCAAGTCATGGGCGACTGCCCAGTTATGTGTTATTCTGCTGGAAATCATAGTAATGCGTACCCGCACAGCGTCGCTCCAGACCGTGCGTGTCTCTGAACCGCCCCTCTCCCCTCACCCCGCCCCGGTCAAAGAGCAGCGCTCACTGTCGGTACACTGTATTCGTTCCGGCAGTGTGTCATTCGCGGCGCGCTGATTAACGGTTCGACTTGGCCACACGCTCCAGCTCGTCCTTTTTCTTGATGGCGTAGCTGTTGGAGGAGCCCTTGGCGGCGTTGATGAGCTCGTCGGCCAGGCACTCGGCGATCGACTTGATGTTGCGGAAGGCGGCCTCGCGCGCGCCCGTGCACAGCAGCCAGATGGCCTGGTTGACGCGGCGCAGAGGAGACACGTCCACCGCCTGGCGGCGCACGGCGCCAGCGCGACCGATACGAGTCGAGTCCTCGCGCGGGCCCGACTTGACGATAGCCGTCACCAGCACCTGCAGCGGGTTCTGCCGACAGAATACAGACAGAGTCAGAGGCGGAAGACCCGCGGAATCGAATCCAGGGACCGAGTCTGAGTCAGGGGCGAGCGGCGCTGGGTACACGCGAGCCACACCGACAGAAGCTTTCCAATTATGCCGTAAGTAGAACCCCGAACAACTTACGAAGCAGTGTTCGCAGCACACGCTCGTCCCAGATCCAGAACATTCATGTTAAAGCGGCAACCCGCTAAAATATGTAGCCCACCCAAACAAACGCAATTAGGTCTACAGTCTACAGGCAAAGTCTACACTCACTAGTGAAAAAAAAACGAGACCCTAGCTGATTGGTTCGGGCTACCAATCTACGAAGTTCCTAAACACATGTTTAGCACCATCGACCCAGCTGTTATAAGATATAAGTGCACGCTTCGTAATTGCAGTGACACTCCAGCAGGTACACATGGAAACGCATCGCCCGGGTGTGCCAGCAATGAGACAATTTTCAAACCAATCGGCCCATTATTCATTACAAAGCTTTTACACGCGGAAACATTTTGATCCCTTGATTCGGTCACGTACCGGAACGGTTACCCGAATGAATAAAAACAGATGCATTTATTTTGAAGGCGACAGCATTATGTGATGTAGAAGACCACTTATACGAGTGCATTGGTCAAGTGGTTGCCGAAATAAGACGCAATTGAAGGCGTCATAGGGTCAAGTTTTAATTTGAACACGACTTTAACGTGAATGCAGCCTATTTAAAGCGACACTTATATTTACTTGAAAAGGCAGTTGGGCCGCTAGGAACAATTTTATGCGATACACCACTGTAAAAAGCAAGAGGCTGAACTCTGCCCAAGAATGGAAAGCATCTTCCACAATATTCCAAATTCAGTCGCGATAAAAATGACCTAATTGGGAATGTCCCCACCTATTTGACATTAAATCATATTTTTGAGTAGTCTAACCAGGAGAATAAGCAAATCCGAAACTTCTCCCAGCTAATGCGGTGATGCAAATGAATAGTCCCTTGTAAAAAAGATCAGTGAAAACCAAGACAGATATCACCGCCGGCAGCAGCCAGTGCCCCATCCCTGTCCTACCGACCGGCCCGCCCTGTCGGGCTGAGATCCCAGCCGGGTACCACAGTGCCCCATCCCTGTCCTACCGACCGGCCCGCCCTGTCGGGCTGAGATCCCAGCCGGGTACCGCAGTGTCCCGCGCCCTGCCCCACCGCCCGGCCCGCCCTGTCGGGCTGAGATCCCAGCCGGGTACCGCAGTGTCCCGCGCCCTGCCCCACCGACCGGCCCGCCCTGTCGGGCTGAGATCCCAGCCGGGTACCGCAGTGTCCCCCGCCCTGCCCCACCGACCGGCCCGCCCTGTCGGGCTGAGATCCCAGCCGGGTACCGCAGTGTCCCGCGCCCTGCCCCACCGCCCGGCCCGCCCTGTCGGGCTGAGATCCCAGCCGGGTACCGCAGTGTCCCGCGCCCTGCCCGCCCTGTCGGGCTGGAATCCCCCAGTATCCCCACCTCGCCGGTCGTCAGGTGGATGATCTCAAAGGCGTGTTTGACGATGCGCACGGCCATCAGCTTCTTGCCGTTGTTGCGTCCGTGCATCATCAGCGAGTCGGTGAGCCGCTCCACGATCGGGCACTGCGACTTCCGGAACCGCTTGGCGGCGTAGCGGCCGGCGCTGTGCGGCATGTAGCGCGCGTGACGCTCCTTCACGGCGATGTAGTCCTGGCGGTGGGAGGATGGGCGTTACACACGGTCACCTGACGATACTGTTTGTCGCGTGGAGGGCACGCTGCATGCATTAAATTTTCAGGAAATGAATGAAACACACAAGAAACACAACCAACAAATAATTTTAAAAGTGCCTACCTTAACACTGTCATGATCACATTAAAAAAAATGAAGAAAAAAATGCACCCCAAAATAAATATTGTATTGTTGACCAACAGTTTTTAGTAATGACAGGTATTATTAGCAGCTATTTCCAGTACGGTCGGCTATTTATTCATTAATAAAAAATAGGATCTATAAGACAGCAACTCTCACGCAATTACCAAGGCGCCAACAGCACATATTCTTAAAATCGAGGAATGCTTAACACTCAAGGCGGAAGCCGGCTAGCCCAGCACACTCCATGGTCGTGTGCCCTGTCTCCCGACCCCAGCTCAGCTCACCTGCAGGGAGATGTCCGGGACCTGGACGTCCTCGCAAGACCACTTGCCGAACAGGTGGACCTCGGGCATGTCGGCGGTCGGCGGGACCATGTCCTCGACCGCTGCGGTCGCCGCCTCTGCTTCATCGTCCCAATCCGCCATGGCTGCAACTGACAGAGTGCACAGGGTAGTTATAGACGTGGAGTCAATCGACAAGATGGTTTCAACACTGGCAGGTAATTGAATTGATATGAAAAAAGAATATCTTGATGACAAAACCTTATACAGAATAGTGTGCGACATGTCCGGTTAAGACACACAGCACACAGTTCTAAAAAGCAGTGTTTACTTTTGTATCCATATGAGTCATACTAAGGAAGCAAGCATATTTACAACCAACCATTTCCATCATTCAGTAGGCAATCTTTGCCTTAAGCACGCACCCACCCCTCTGCACAGCGAATGTCAGTTGCATCATAATTGGAATGTCAACTGAATTTGAAAACCTTTGCATATTTAAAAACAATTTTCCGCAATTCCGCACGTAACTCTGGAACCAATAGAGCTATAGCGCGGCCGAAAGGCGCATTCGATAGCGCCTTATACGCTGTTTCTAAGTATTAAGCTCAGATTTGCCCAAACATCAGTGGTTTGCCTCCTAAGCGCAAAAACTGGCAAAATCGTTATCGCGGAAAACGTTTTTCTCCAACCACTATTGACCTTAAGCTCTTTATACCAGCCTCGTAGTACATGGCCCCGCGGCCTGGCATAAGTTTTGTCCTCTACAAGCCAGAAAGCCCAATCATTTTCCAGATCCATAAAAGTATCTATCAAACTGGCCTATGTATGCCAAAATATGGACATGACCGCAGCAGTTATGACCATATTTCGGCATGTGCAAAGTGGCTCGGCACGAGGACAGCATGTCTTGGCCCTCCGGCTACACCAGATTGATAGCCAATGAGCGCCGATCAGGCCTTACACCGATGGGTCAAGAAGCCGTGAGCTGTACTTAGCATTAGAAACACAATTAGGTTGTTGTTGTTGTTGTTGATGATTTTCCCTCTGGCCGCGGATGGCCCCGCGGCGTAGCCTCATCGGCTCTGGAGGGCCCTGAAGGCGGCCACCAGGGCCGCCACCACGTCACTGCGCCAGACCTCGTCGGGTGTTGGTAGGATGTTCCCCACGGCCGGGATTTTGAGGCGAACACCCATCAGGCCCGGGCACGTGAGCAGGATGTGCCGGGGGGTGTCCGCCTCTTCGCCGCACAGCGGGCACCGGGCGGCCTCGCATAGCAGGTCCCGGCATTGGGCGCAGGCGGCTGAGGGTCTCCGGCCGATGGAGTGCAGGAACTGGGTCGATCCACTCCAGTGGCCAGTCCGGATCTGGTGGACATCGATGGCTGCCCGCCGATCCAGGTTGGAGACTGGGGGCGGGTATCTCGTACCCATCAGCTCACGGTACAAGCCGGTCGCCGCTCTGCGTGTCGGGTCTGGGCATGACGATTAGGTCGTACCAACTCTGCTTCAAAAACCAAAAATCGCAACAGTCGGCTTCATCGTCTCCCGTTGCCGGAACCATGAACATGCGAGTGCACGTATTCACTGCGCCTGTCTAGTGTCTACGCCCTACGGTATCGGCCCGAATCTGCTGCTGGTAGACAGACATTCAACGAAGCTGCTGCTAAAGCAGCATATTTGGGGCGGCCGAATGTCTAACTGCCAGCAGCCGATTCACGAATATCGATCTCCTGGTAGGATTATCAATGTGGAAAAAATCGGCGGCAGTCATACGCCGACAATTTGGCGGCCACCATGCGTCGAATTTGCTGCATGTGAAGTTACACCGGACGTGCCCAGAAATTTTTGGCGCAATGCCGCTACTAAGCCGGACATATTCGGCATAGCCACGTCAGCACACATATCGTTAAGTCTTGCTTAACATCTCTCACCGTCCTTCGGTCGTGGATGATCGCAGTTATCCATCTTTCTTATCTCTCAGCACATCATCTCTTTCCCCCAGCCAGCATGGTTTCCGAAACAACCATTCTACCGAAACGGCACTTCTGCCCGCACTTTCAACTGACAGGAATTTTAGGGGATGGATTGTCGACAGGTGGCGCTACTTTGTATGTTGGACTTGTCTATAAAGCCTTTGACGTGATACTCCACGATCGATTGCTCGTCAAACTTGAGCAGTACGGCGTCGACGTCCGCTGGTTCTCCAATTATCTTTCCGATCATCAACACCAAATTCAGATACGCTCACCGGACGGTCGTAATGCTCTGTAACGGCCATTAGCCAACCCCATCGGTACCTATCTGAGATCCGCGCTCGGGCCGTTGTTGTTCAACGTGTACAGTCTGCCTTAAAAGTACCGCGCAAAGTAACGGTGGATCCATCAAGCCTGTCCGAGTAAGGACTGCTAGATTTAAGTCACCGAAGCAATGGACATCCTCGTCCATTCCCCAGGTCAATTGGTTCGGTGACTTTCATATTATAGCACGCCCTTCCTCGGTCAGGCTTGATGGATCCACCGTCACTTTGCGCGGTACTTTTAAGACAGACTGTACACCACCGATATGTCACTGTTTTAGCGGGAATATGCTGTTTACAATCAATGTCTCGTAAAATACTGTGATGACACACAGCTGGCTGTACTAGGGTGACCCTGCGACGCCAGTTCTATGGTAACCCAGTTGGAACTGGACCTTCCAGCTCTGTCGCTTGGTTCAGATAAAATAAGACTGAAGACCAATGCAGATAACACTCATCTTATTGTTTTGGGCACATGGCAACAAATTTGTCAACTAGTCCCAATAGCAATCAGGTTCATGGGTAGTGGGTGCCATTATTGTGGGAACGTCTTCAGCCAACAACATCGGTGTCGCTTTTGACGAGAGCATGACGTTCTCAAATCATGCGTCGGATGTAGTCGGCCGCTGCACCGGGATCCTGAGCGGCCCGAGTCACATTAGGCACTAACGGTCCATCAGCGTATCAATTTCGGTGCTGGTGTTGTGTCGAGCAGGCGGAAATATGACCATGTAAGCGAAGTGTTGAAGGAGCCGCGATGGCTCTCGGCTGATAATTTGTGGCGTCTTCAGTCCATCACGCCCCTAAAGAAAATCTTCGAGACAGGACAGCAGAAGTCTTATCCAACGGAATTGTGTTGTGAGGCAGCTTGCCACTGTATTGCAGTAAAACGCTCTGCCTCCGGCGCTCCACGATATCTATCCCAGGCTCTTCCGGAGAATCAAACGATCCTATTGTGTGAGTAACACGGCAACCCAGCCAGTGTGTAGCGGCTCTGTGGCACAAATGTAAACGTGTGCACTGTGCACTGTGCAAATGTGATGTGTGCGTGCATGTGTGTGAGTAATGTTTGTATCCACCTCACTCATTTCACCTGGCTTGGCAGCAAACACTAGCCATTTTCAAAAGGAAATCGTAATATAGATCAGCTTGCCACAGGCACAATACACAATATGCAAGGCATGTTCTTTTTCCAGTATATACTTGAGGTTCATATCATTAATTGGTCCTTAAAGTCAATGCAAATTTAGGCTATTTTGGGCTTTGCACCGCTTCTAGGACTTTAAATCTATGCTGCTGTAGATTTTCTGGCCCCGTTTTAAAATTTGGTGCAGCTTTTGATCTTTGGCTCATGCACCCTGTCAGCCTGCAAGCCATAGGGCTGTTCGGCTACGCAGCCCAAATGAAATATGCTGCAGCATGCATGCGCAGTGAGGGCTACGTCGCCAGTTCATCCCACCCAAACCACTGTGTAATCCTGTGTGAGTTGTGATGTCACCTACTGAAGCATACTTCTCTTTCCTGCAGCCAGAAATTTGGTGCTGCAGGAGGTGAAAGTGGAGCGGAGCAGATTTAAGTTTACCGTCCCATATTTCTCATTGTAAGCGGTTTGTATGCTGTTTTTTGGTATCATTATCACTCTTTTCAGTGGCACATTGCTGTTAACCACATTTGAATGCAATTTAACTGTTATTTGAGCAACAATCAGCAGTTGAGCAACAACCACCTGTTCAATGGTTCCCCACAGGTGGAATAAGCTGCAGCGACGCTTGGCCACAGCATGCCGGCAGAGCCGACTGATGTATGATGCACGCATCACAGATCTATGCTGCAGAGACCCTAACAGCCCTCATGCCTTGTAGTAAAGGATTTATCCCACACCACAATGTTAACATAGGAGCTTCTAAATCCAGCATTCATGGTAACTAGTAACTCCCCCTCCCCCTGGTGGAGTCAAACCAAGAGTAGAAAACATCACAATCTTAACACATCAATCTTGCCCTTTATCTTGCCGGTGCGCATTTCTAAAGGAATTATGCAGAATAGTGCAGATTTCTGAAGAATGTTCCAAATTTCCCATTGAAAGTGTACCGGTCCTAAAGTAAATATTTACCCAGACTTCCAGAGCATCGGCGCAGATTTTGCAAGGAAATAGGAATGGCATGGGCCGCAACCTGGAATCATGCATAAACAATGTGCCAGCGCAACATTGCAAACCACAGATATAATCATTTTAACTGACAATGAAAACTCGGAGAAGGGTGTCGCGCGTCACAAGCCGCAAGGAAATGACCGACCCTCATATATCACATTCTGTGCCTAATTTTGCACCTAGAAATGCACCAAAATGAAGCAATACAATAATATTTGGCATGAGCGTATAATGCAGGTTGATGTTCTGACGAATGTCGGAATAGTGTCACTATTTAATGTGTATTTGCCTACAGATTATCATGACAGTGACAGTCAAGATGACTTTGGAATGTGCATTGGAGAGCTTAGTTGTTATCTTGACATTGTTCGCACCAGAACTGACTATTATGGGGTCATTGGTGACTGTAATGCGAATAGTTATGGGTCCCGTTTCTTCTTAGAATTGTTGGACTTTTGCTTGGAAAACAGCCTGATAGTGTCGGATTTGTTCTTGTTAGAACCCACTACTTCCACATATACATATGTCAGTGCTGCACATGGTACCACTTCATGGTTGGACCATTGCTTGTGTAGTCCGGCCCTTCACCTTACCATTGATAGGATTTTCATTCACTATGACACAAGTGTTTATGATCATTTGCCAATGGTTGTGGAATTCATTCTCCAAGCAACCGACATTGTTATGCCGGAGCAAATAGCCCAAAAGATCCCCAGACCGCAATGGAAATCGATTACACGGGAAGAAATTGTTAACTACAATGAATTTATCGTAAGGGAGCTAGGAATACAATATACGGCTCCACTTCAAACGCTAAGTGCTGATTGCGGCCTAGAATGTGTTAATGAGGACCATGTCCTACATATAAGTAGTTGCTACTCCCGTTTAGTTGAGACTGTGAAACTAGCCGGATCTCATTGCATCAAGCAGACCGGAGGTGCTCGGCGCCATAGTCAGATTCCTGGATGGAATAGGCATGTCAAAACGAAGCATGCTGTAGCCCGCCAAGCTTTTCTTTGGTGGCGTCACTGTGGATCTCCCAAGGTAGGTCCAGTGGCTTTTCATATGAGACAGACTAGACTTGCTTTTAAATACTCCCTGAGGAAGTGTAGGAAAGATTACAGAGTCGCAAAAGCTAACAAAATAGCAGCCACTTTGGCTAATAAACGGCCAGACCAGTTTTGGTTCCTCATTAAGCAAGAGTTAAGTGGAAAGTCGAGTACTCCACTGAGCTTTGGTCTCATTTGTGGTCAGGCAAACATTGTTAAGATGTGGAAATCTCATTTTGCATCGATCTTCAACGATTTTACCTGCTGCAGTGATGATGCTGTCTTAAATGAACTGACAAGAGCACCACTCTCACATGTCCCTCCCATTGACCTTCAAGATGTCTGTGGTGCAGTAGCTAAGCTTAAGGGTGGAAAAGCCCCAGGCTGGGACCTTGTGTGCAATGAACACTTGTTGCACTTAGAAACGAACTTTCTCGGTGATTTGGCTGTCCTATTTAAAGGGACCCTCCCACCTTCAAAAAAGTTAATGAATTGGCATGAAAGTGATGTCGCTCGGTTCAGAAAGAGCAAAAACGAATATCTACCAAATTTCATGGAAAAATATTCACCGGTTTTCAAGATATTAGCCTTTTACTTTTGTTTACTTTTTGGGATCTCCGCTGTTCCTAGCGACTTTATTTGAAAGTGCGGCATTTGTTGCGCGCAAAGCAGCATATACCACCGCGTGCTACAAAACGTTTTAGTCAAACATTTAACGAACGTTCGAAAGCCTGATGACGTCATCAGACTCCCGTAATGGTTAAGAGATAGGGACCACGCTGGTCCCACCCTGCAAGTAAAGGGAAGAAATTTCTTGAACACCATAAAGCTGCGGGGGTTGCGACCAGGATAAATGGTGGTTTCTGAGCCTGGCCGCAAACTTGGCTATCTCAACTCAAAACTAATGTTAAGGTGGGAGGGTCCCTTTAATGGAATGCTTAACCATTCGGCACTGCCAAGTGATATGATCTATTCTTTGTTAGTTCCCATAATGAAGGATAGGTGCGGTGCTTTAGATGACAAAGCAAATTACCGGGCTATAGCATTGTCCACTACTTTGTCAAAGATATTGGAACTCATACTTTTGGACAGGTTAATGCCTTTCCTAAGTACCTGCGATGCACAGTTTGGCTTCAAGGCGGGACAATCCACTACTTTTGCAACATACGCCCTTAAAGAAACAGTGAACCACTATACAAGTCAGGGTAGCCCTGTTTATGCCTGCTTTTTGGACGCCAGCAAAGCATTTGACAGAGTATCCCATTCTAAACTCTTCCGCATTCTTGCTGATCGTAATGTACCCCTACCATATGTCAAGCTCCTCTTGAGATGGTATAGGACGCAAAAACTAAGCGTCAAATGGGCTGGTAGTGAATCCGACGCAATCAACGTTCAGAATGGTGTGAGGCAGGGTGGATCGTTATCCCCGATGTTATTTAATGTGTACATTGACTCTCTTCTTACTGTGTTGAGGAAGCTGAAGATAGGCTGTTTCATGGGTCCAAGTGCCGTGAATGTGATTGCGTATGCTGATGACTTAGTGCTTTTGGCTCCAACTAGGTCTGCCCTTCAAATGATGGTACAAAAATGTGAGCACTCTGCATTAGCACTTGATGTCGTGTTTAACACAAAGAAGACAGTGTGTATGATGTTTCCGCCACAAAAGCCATATAGAAAATTACACCTGACCAATAGCCAGACTGCAGATATCTATTTACATGGACAAAAACTAGGATGGGTGCAGGAGTTTAAGTATTTAGGTCACACAGTTTCATGTGATTTGGATGATAGTTCTGACATGCGCAGAGTCAAGCGATTTATGTATTATAGTACAAATATGCTTTGTGCTAAATTAGGCTTTGCAGATAGGGACACTCTGGTTAGGCTCTTCAGGGCATTTTGTACAAGCATGTATGGCTGTGAGTTGTGGAGTATGCTGAGTGGGAAAAAGGCGATGCGTGAATTGTGTGTCGCCTATCACTCCTGTTTGAAGAAACTTGTTCATGTTCCAAGATGGACGAGAAACCACAACCTGTGCATGGAGCTAAAGGTGCTCACATGTCCAATGCTGATAGCGAGCAGGCAACTTCTTTTCTGGAAGAGAGCTACATCTAGTCAAAATAGCATAATAAATGATCTGAATAGGGCCATAGGCGAGAAAGGGCTAGTTGCACGCAACCATAGGAAAATCCGTACTGACTATGAACTGCTGGAACTTGATATAAATGATGTCAGTCGAAAAGATGTTGGCAATATGTTTAGTGCCCATTTAGAAAGAGTGGTACAAGCCCGTCTCATGCAGGTCTGAATTCGCTGATGTCAAACTGCTAAGCTGATCTATTCGTGTGCACAGTGCATGGGTGTGATGTGTGTAGAGTGTATATTGTATGTTGGTGATATTGTTATGTTAACTGATTTTGTCATGTATATGCACCGACTTGGTGCGAAATAAATGCTATTATTATTATTATTATTAATATAGCACAGCACTTAACAGGTTAATTTAGCATAATGACAAAATAATCAGGAAAATCGAGTTACCTTTGTGAAGTAGCCCTTCCAGCAAACCTCACCGGAAAAAGGAAATTGTTTACGCAGGGTTGCCATTTATCGAAAATATTTTCAAGGGAAGCATTGCACGTTTATTGCACGATATCTACCCTCAGGATTTCAAAATAAATAATATCTTAAAAATTAATTAACAAGTTCCGAAACCTATGAGAAACTGAACCGTCTTATTTATATAAGCAAATTGCATTTCATTTGTTTACAAAATGAAAAATATCATATGTGGCGCAACAGAAACAAAACATGCGCAGAGTTCTCTATATACCGTGATGCGCAGTCGCTTCCTTTCTCAGGACGATCTATTTGGACGTTTTTGCCCAATTTTTGCCAAGGTTTTTGCAAGGACGTTTGGACGTTGTTAAACATTTATGTTGATAATCATTTCATAAGCCGCATTACCTACCCATCTATTGCACTTGCGGCAGTATTTTGCAGGGTGTATTGAGTGAAGTATTTTGATCCAGCCACCCACCACGTCTTTAATTACCTTCCACTTATTCTATTGTTGATCTGTACCCAATAATCACAAAAATCAGAATGATTTGATAGGTATATACAGTATACACCCTACTCATGAGTCATTCTAACCACATTTTCTTTTCCTTTGGTGATAAAATGCTGATGACCTTTGCGATACGTTGCAGTGAGCTATAACTGAGTCAGCAGCGGGCAGCCTACTGCCTAGCTAAGAAGAAGCGAAGGTTTGTTTCATAATGGCATCGGCAGAGTCTCAAAAGCTGAAAGTGTTGCTTCTACGTTCAGAGTCATCTGGACCAGACAAATATGTGTCTGTGCTGCATGGAAATGGATGTGATGTGTATACTGTGCCCACTTTGGACTTTGTGTATCAAAACACAGATAATCTTTTGGAGCAGCTGAATGCTCCTTCATCATACTCCGGTATTGTTTTCACCAGTCCAAGAGCAGTCCTGGCTACCAGTGAGGTGATGGGAGATCACCACAAAGTACAATGGATGAAGAAGATGTGTTTTGTTGTTGGAGAAAGGACTGGAAGTTTGGTTCGTGAAAAGTTTGGTTTCAACCACACAGGCAGTGACTCTGGTGATGCCTCAGGCCTGGCTGACAAAATTGTGACAATGATGACAGGTCAAAATCTGCCCTTGTTATTTCCCTGTGGCAATATGAAGAAGGAAACTCTTCCCAAGAAACTTAAAGAAGCTGGCATTCAGCTGCATTCCTGCACAGTATATGTCACTCAAGAACATCCAGATCTCAAAAGAAAACTGGAAGAATATCTGGCTCTAAAGCCCGACTTCGTTGTCTACTTCAGTCCTTCTGGTGTAAGCTTTAGTCACCTGGTTTTGAAGCAGTCTGATTGTTTTGAAAGCATAAAGCATGTATCTATAGGTCCCACGACCAGAGATGCACTGGAGAAGAGTGGGATACAAGTGTTTGCATCTGCAGAGAAGCCATGTCCTGATGCTGTTCTGCTAGCTATCAGGGGGTCATGATTGGAGAATGGGTGAAAACTGAAGTGAAGTGAAATGCAAAAGGTGACTATGATTTTTTTTTTGAATAATTTAGTCAGAAAAGTTTTCCACATTTGCGATGGATGTCAAACTTATCATCAGGGCTTATAATGAATGAGTTTTCCTGGTGGTTATTCCTTGCTGTTGGCCCCTTTTTATCCTCATATTTGGGGTTGAACTATGCATAGCAACTGTGATACGAGTCATGTTGTAAATAAAGGTGTTTGCTTTTTTGATGCTTTAGGGAGTTAATACCAGTTCATCGCGGAAGAGTTTCGGCCGGTATTCGCCTGCAGCCCGCCACACTATTAGACCTGGGCGCTGTTTCAAGGCACGCTGCTAGCCGCTTTCAGCGCATCTCGCGAGCTGTCGTCACACTTGTGGTAGTGTTGGAGCAATGGGCTTGTTGATGTCTCATTGGAAACCCAAATTGCCACGTGTGCTGGCAGCGACTGGCAGCGTGCCGCTGACACACCGCCCTCTGCACCGCCCCAGACAGCCCTCGGCTGGTGGGAGACCGGGGAAGAAGCTACCGCTGGAAGTTGGTCGTCGTGACGCATTGTCACTTGGACACGAGAACTCTATACTCCGAGGCACACTGTTGGCAAGCTTCCGGTGAGAGTCGGCCATGTGGTAAGACCGCTGTTGCCCTTGCGCACGACGTCCTTTGTTTTGTTTTGCGTTTAAAGCGTCTGGATTTGGAACGCTTAAATGCAAGGGCAAGGTGCCATCTGCACCTGCGACGGGTTTCCACACAAAATTGAGTAATGCGACGAACACATTACATATCCGAGCTAAGAATTTAAATGCAAAAGAATGTCATATATAACAGTTTTTATTTATATTTTAGTTAAACGCTACGATAATCAATGGCATGCTTACAGCACCTCGATAATTGTGGACATCTGACCCACAGTGTCAGAAATCGCTTGCATACATACATGCTGGCCTCTTAGACAATGAGCTGAGTACAGCCACTCAGCTCGGCCACAAGGCAGTAGCCACTGTAGGTGTTCATATCAGTCTCCATCCATTACATGCTTGTAACGTATGTAATGTATGCAGCATGCGCCTTGCACACATAAAGTAAAGACAAATCAGCGGAGTGTGTTCTGATAACGCACTTGTGCTCGGGTTCATATCAATGTTGGCGTGGCCTTTTATGGACACTGCTCATACCTATACGCCCCGCATAATAGCAATCCCCAATGCCCCGCCCCTGCTCACGGCGCGCAGCCCCTGCGCCGACGGTCGGCCCGTCCGGAGCGGCAGCCGGCCGTTCAGGGCTGCCGGTCGTGCAGCAGGGCCGTGGTGACGGCGCCCAGTCCCGTCACCATACACACACTGCTCTCTGTCTCCAGCACGAGCACGGGCGGCCGCGGCGCGTCCGGGTGCACGCGGCGCGCGGCGGCGGCCACCAGGGCCAGCCGGCCGCCGGCTGTCTCCTGCAGCCGACCGGTGGCCGTCAGACACAGACCGGCCGAGTCCACGGCCAGCAGACCGGCCGCGCCGGCTACCTGACTCTCCTCCACGGCGGCCACCACTGCAGCGTCCATCGCAGTGCGTCGACGGGATCGAAAGTGCCGTGCAGGCAGGATAAGATGCGCCCTGCAGAATGGTCACACCTGAGAGCAAGAAAACTTTTAGTTATGATGAATCACACTAGTTGAGTCACAACAGGCACTCTTTTTATAGGATGCTAAAATGCATTTCTATGAAATTTTGAAGATACCTAGTTAAAATGAGTTCTAGGAATTCACATGAACAATGTTCACTGAAAGATAAGCACTTCAAAGTATGGGATTCTTCATAATTTTTATACCTTGCAGGGGCGCGGGAACTACTTTCCGACCGGGGGGGGGGGGGGGGGCACACCATAATAGAGATCAACCTAGGGTACCCCCAAATCTAGTTTTCTCACCAGTTTTAGGCCACTTATTTTTAACCCCTCGGCTTTTTCAACAAAAAAGAAAACATTTGCAAAAAAAAGTGTGGTATTCCGTCTCAAAGCTGTGGGGGCACCGCCCCCACGGCCCCAGAGTTAGGGGGGGGGGCAAGCTGCCCCCACTGCCCCCCTGGCTCCCGCGCCTATGATACCTTGTGTTCTGTACATTTATGTGTGCAATTTTCACGTCTATATACCTGAAAACAGTTAACAAGCACATATGTACACTTGCGACTTGCATGAAGCATAGTTTTGCTAAAATTTCAGCTCTGTCTTGAACTATCAAAAGAAGACCCCAAAACATCAAAATTTAAGTTTAAGTTTAAGTTTAATATAGTGAGCTATGGTAGACAGGGTCTATTCGGTGCTCACTTCGAGCATTAAACTGAGCCAGACTGGGTAACTTAGGTACTGTGGATGTTAAAGAGAGAGGATAGCGCCGTAGTGGTCCTGAGCTTGTCTAGCCGGTTCTTGAAAGTGTTTGTGTTTTCAGACATTATGATCTCCTGAGACAGCTTGTTCCATGCTGAGACTACTCTGTTTGCAAAGAATTTTGCTCGAGCTTGGGTCCTGGACCTCCGTATCTCAAGTTTGAGCTGGTGACCTCTGGTCGTCCTTCCGTGGTGGCTAGTGAAAAATTGACCTGGGCGTACGTTCAATTTCCCCTTAAGAATCTTAAATGTTTCTATCAAATCTCCTCTTCTGATCCTTTCTTCCATACTTGTCATGTTTAGTACTTTCAAACGTTCTTCATATGGTACTCTTTTCAATCCATGGACTAGTTTAGTGGCCCTCCTTTGTATTTTTTCAAGTGCTTGTATGTCCTTATTCAAATAGGGACCAGCCGCTTGCACACAGTGCTCAAGATGAGGTCTAACATACACCGAAAAAAGGGTTTTGAAGTTCTTCACTGTTAGTTGACCAAAGGTCAGCCTCAGTACCCTGAGGGCAGACATGGCCTTGTTTGCTGACTTAGAACAGTTCAATGAAGGTTTCAGTGTGTTGGTAATGTACACTCCAAGGTCCTTTTCTACAAGAGTTTCCTCAAGCATTTGTGGCCGCCCAGTTACTGTTTTCATTGTGTAAGTGAATCCAGGATTTTGGGAGCCGCAATGCATTACTTTGCATTTTTCCAAATTGAATTGCAACAACCACTCTCCAGACCACTTGGTGAGTATATCCAGGTCAGCTTGCAGCTTTAGAGCATCACTTTGATTACTAACAGGTCCATACAACTTGGTATCGTCTGCGTACATTTTAATCTTGCTTCTGACCAGGCTTGGTAGTTCATTGACATAAATGATGAATAATACAGGACCTAACACCGAACCTTGGGGTACCCCACTTCTGACTCTGGACCATGTGGACAACTTGTTACCAACCGAAATTCTCTGGGTACGGTTACTCAAGAAGTCTGATATCCAAGCAAGGACTTCTCCCTTGATATTATAACCTTGCAGCTTCACACAGAGTCTTCTGAGCGGCACAGTGTCAAAAGCTTTCTGATAGTCCAGGTAAATTATGTCAAGTCCTGCTCCCTCATCTACTGTCTTGGTCCAATCCTCAAGTGATTCTAATAAATTCGATTGACACGATCGGTGTTTTACAAACCCATGCTGGTGAGGTGATATAAAGTCATTCTCTTCTAAGTGGTTGATGATGTGCTTCTTTACTATTCTCTCGAGCATTTTGCAAACTTGACTTGTAAGGCTAATGGGCCGATAATTATTGGGTCTTGCTCTCTTTCCTTTCT